GGTTGTATTGCCCACGACACTTTGATCGCAGGCGATGCAAATGTGAGATCAAGGACGCTTTTTCTGACCCCTTTACGGATAAATGTGGTTGCTCCGCTGTTTAGAGTTGTGAGGTTCAGGGCCGCAATGGTATCTTCCAGGCATCTTCCCCTTCTGTTGGTTCGGCTATCACCCCAGTTGATGTTGTGTGCGTTGAAATCTCCAGCTAATAAAAGTTCACCTTTAGCTCTCTGTTGAATTTGGTGCAACACATCAGGGTCCCATGTGCCCCCGGGGGCTACGTAAATGGAAACTATTGTGGTGTCTTGCGTGCCGAGCCTTACTGTCACTCCCGCATACTCTGCCGTTAATGAGCAGAGATCTGAAAGGTCCAGGACGCTTTGATGGAGGCTTGATCTCACCAAAAGTGAAACTCTAGACCTAGTCTTTGAGTCAATTGTGGTGGAATTGTAGAAAACATATGGAGAGAGTCGTACCTCACCGTGCAGGATGTTGGTTTCTTGAAGTGCAACTACATCTATGGTTCTCTGCTGCAGAATTTGCCGAAGTTCAGGAATGCGTGTACGAAGGCCGTTCACGTTCCATTGGAGAATTGATGGGAATTTGGGGTTCCGGATTCGTTGACACGGCCTGTTGGCTTTCCCTCCCTTTACTATGACTCCATAAGTGGAAGAATCATGTTAAGGAATGAGAGGAGAAGTCGTGCCCACTGCGATTCCACAGTAGATAGAAAAGCGCAAGCCATGCGGGTTGCCTTCTGAAGAAGTGGAATCCAGCATTCCCAAGCAGATTTAGCTGTGGGTTCAGCACTCGGGCTGGGAGGAGGCTGCGGCTTCAGTGCAGGCGTCACATTCAATGCTGGACTGACAGTGTCGGCTTTTGATTCCACAGTGCAGGTGTGGTGGTTGTTCAACTGAGATTCTCCCTTTGTCGTTTTGCCTTTTCGCTGAAGTGCTGCAGCGTAATCCACAGCACTGACATTAGGCTCCTTCATAGGATCATTCCTTCTTTTCGGTGGGCTTGGAGGGGGCTGACCATGTTGATTTGCGTTGGCTGTCTTAGACTGTTGGACAGCTGTCCTTGCAGCACGAAAATCAACGGCATTTTGACGTGCGTAATTGCGAGTCTCGCTTTCTTTCTTCCATTTAGGGCAGGATGAAGAAGTGGCAGCGTGAGGTTGACCACAGTTGACACACTTTTCTTGTGCCAAACACTCGGTGTTGCTCTGATGTAAGTCTCCGCAGCGGCTACAAATAGAAGGTCGCTTGCAAGTCGCTTCTCGATGTCCATACGCGCAACACTTTCGGCACTGTATGGGGCGTTCCTTGAATAGAGAGGCTGGGTGACGGACATGGCCTAGGTAAACATAACTTGGCAGTGTTGTTGTAGAGAAGGACAGCTTCACTGCTGTGCTCTTGCCAAGTCGTCGCAATCTTGCCACTCGACCTTCCGGAGATCTCACGTTCTGTTCGATCTCTACTTCAGAAAGCGCAGGATCAACGTCTGTGATCACTCCGACGGCGTAGTGTCGCGGAACTGGCTCATATGCTCTGACCTTCATTCCGCAAAGCTCGGAGCAGGCAAGGAGCGTTCGAGTCGTCTGGCCATTGCGTGTGTCTACTGCAATAAGGTTGAGTCTTTTGTTAGGACGGACTTCAAGAATGCACTCCGGGCACATTTGTTCCAAAGCAATTGACAGTTTAAGGCTGCTGAGTGTTGCGATGAGCTGATTTTCAAGCGTTGATACAAAGATGACAGTCAGCCCTTCTGTCACTTTCGGCGAGTGGGTAACTGTATCCGTGCTTTTGCTTGAGTTTGAGTCAGTCTTCTTGCGTTTTTTAGCTCCTTTGGTCTGCCAGCCTTCTTCGTCGTCGTTGAGCTCCATGTCACAGAGTTGTGACTCTTCGGCATTCAATACGTTGGTATTTGAATGTTGACCAGCTGCGAGGTCTTCTGCCAAGTCAGCAGCGGAAGCTTCGTACTCCGATTTTGCGAGAGATGTACCGCATATCGAGGAACTCACACTGTATCGGTCGGTTGCAGCTCTTTGACTTGCCGTTAGTGAGGGAGTTCTGGTGGACATAGCGGAGTCGTTTCAGGAAAGCCGAGGAATAATCCCCAGCCGACCGGCACACCTGCCCGCATACAGTTGGAGGCAGGCTTCGCACTTGTATAGGCTCAAAGAAAAACGTGTAGAGGGTTGATACTATTAAAATATAGCCACAAATAAGAGAGACGAAAAGAGCGCAGACCTATTCGAAGCACGTCTTCTTCCTTTTTCTCTCTGCTCAACGCGTGTCTTTCAAACATGCGTTTTATGCGCTCGCGCTCCCGCCAAGAGGACAATGCAGAATTGCCGTTTTCGGGCCCGAGCCTTCACCTACAGCGAACGCGAACTACGTATGCTAAATGATCTGAAGCCTGGTTCAGACAGTTGCGTTTGACTGCGTTGCGGCAGCGAGAAACCAGGACATCCCTGCTGCTTATATCGCGTGCCAAGACGATTCCTTGATTTGGATTCCACGCTTCATACGAAGCACAAATGTGCCGGTGAGTCGCTTTCGGTTCTCGACGTAACGCTGTCAAACGCATTCAAACGCAAGTGTCTGAACCGGCCTCAAGCATCAAAGAACGCCGAGAACATAGTTCTCTGCGCTGCACCTGCTGGCGTCTCCAGCAGTACTAAATCTAAACCGAAAGTAGCACGTGTATGTTTACCAACGCCTTATTTTTGGAAATTTACTTGGAATCTTTTATAATGGTAAAAGGAACTGTTGTGTGTTGGCAACCGAGGATATCCAGGGATGCCGGTGAACTGGTGCACGCGCACATTCACGAGACGCTCGACTGCTCTGGCCCCAACCCGGTCGGTTGTGCCCGCTGTATGCTGTAATGTATATATTATGTAAAGATTAAATACACAACATTGGCGACGAAGTGGAGTCAACCTGCGGCGGAAGACCTTCTAGAGCGCCGTTCACGGCGCCATGGCAGAAGCAAAGGCATCAGCGGCGCCGGCATTCGGCGGCATCGAAGAGTTCGCACCGAGCACCGGTGCAACATGGCCACTGTACCACGAAAGACTTGAGTTCTACTTTATCGCAAATGAGATCAAGTCAGCCGAGAAGAAGCGTGCAATCCTGTGCACGGTCTGCGGGGCGGCAACGTACGCCATCGTTCGTTCACTCTGCTCACCGGCTCTACCTTCCGAGACGAGCTACGACGACATCGTCTCGCGACTGGCGGCCCACTTCAACCCGAGGCCGTCCGCCATTGTTCAGCGTTTCCAGTTCGGGAAGCGCGACCAGCGTCGAGGAGAAAGTATCGCCGACTACATCGCCGAGCTTCGTCGGCTGTCGGAGCACTGCGCTTTCGGGCCAACGTTGGACGACATGCTCCGAGACAGGTTAGTCTGCGGCCTCCGGGAAGAGTCCCTTCAGCGACGGCTTCTCTCCGAGCCGGAACTAACCTTCGCGGTGGCCAAAGAGAAGGCGATAGCAGCAGAGTACGCCCACCACCAGACAGAAAAGATCAGGGGGGCGCCCGCAGAGAGCAGCGATGTGCGTCGTGTTGGTAAGCAAATGGCTCCGAGAGCTAAGCCTAATGCCGAGGCAGCAAGAGAAAGGACTGCGTCGAAGTCACAGCAAGACGCTGGCAAGTGTTTTCGCTGTGGAGGGTCACACGCACCAGACGAGTGTCGTTTTCGACACGCACAGTGCCACTTTTGCAAGCAGCGGGGCCATATCGTGAAAGTTTGTCGACGAAAAGCGAAACAGTCCTCACCGACGCCTAGGCCTACAGGTGGCAGCCGCCAGAACGGCCGGCGGCGCGACAGTGAAACAGCGGATGTTTTCGGCATCTTCCAAATGACTGCCGAGGAACCTGCTATCCGCGTGGTCGTAGGAGTGAACGGGAACCCTCTCGAGATGGAAGTCGACTCAGGAGCGGTGTGCTCCGTGATCAACGAGAGAACTATGCGTCAGCTGCGGTTGTCCAAGCACAAGCTGCGACCGTGTGAACTACGTCTTCGCACGTACAACCAGCAGGAATTGAAGGTGCTGGGCTCCGTGATGGTCCAAGTCACCTATAAAGGGCGTCAAAAACGACTGCGTCTCGTCGTGATCAAGGGAGCAGGCGTAGGCTTGCTTGGCCGAGACTGGTTCAAGGCTCTTGGGATTGAGCTGAGAGTCAATCAGCTGGAAGAAGCAACGAACAATCAGAGCCCGTCCAGCGCAGTAGTGCTGAGTCGTCACGCCGACGTTTTCCAACCAGGTCTAGGCAAGAGCAAAGGACCACCAGTTCGAGTCGAAGTGGAACCGACTGCCCAGCCCAAGTTTTTCAAACCGCGTCCAGTTCCCTTTGCCTTACTACCAAAAGTGGATGAAGCCTTGGACAAGCTCATCAGGCAAGGCATTTTGGAACCGGTCCGACATTCCAGTTGGGCGACTCCAATAGTACCTGTGGTAAAAAAGGATGGCACAGTGCGAATCTGTGGCGACTACAAGAGTACGGTAAACCCTGTGGTCCGTTGGGAAAGCTACCCCCTACCCACACCTGAGGAACTTTTCGAGAAGCTGGCAGGCTGTGCAAGGTTTTCCAAGCTTGATTTAGACCAAGCGTACCTGCAGCTGACAGTTGACAGTGAGACAGCTGACCTTCTCACCATCACCACACACCGTGGACTTTTCCGTGTCACGCGCCTACAGTTCGGAGTAGCCGTTGCAGTCGCTATTTTTCAGAGGTACATGGAAGAGCTGCTGCAAGGGCTGGAAGGGGTGCAAGTTTTTCTCGATGACATCCTGGTAGGCGGTAAAGATGAAGCCGAGCACAACACCCGTCTGCAAGCTGTGCTTCAAAGAATTCAAGACGACGGTGTCCGGCTAAAAAGGGACAAGTGCGTTTTTGGAGTGGATGAAGTTGTATTCCTAGGATACAAGGTCAGCAAGGCAGGAATACAGCGGACAGACGACAAGGTCAAGGCTATCCATGGGGCACCCGAGCCAAAATGCAAGAAGGAGTTGCAAGCGTTCCTAGGGGCACTCAACTTCTACAACAGGTTCCTACGGGGAGCGGCACACACTTTGGAGCCCTTGTACAGGCTGCTCGACAACGGCCATAAGTGGAGATGGACTACGCAGGAAGCAGAGGCTTTTCTGCGGGCCAAGCAGCTACTGCAGTCTTCGGACGTCCTTGCCCATTACAGTGTCCACCAGCCACTAGTCATGGCATGTGATGCCTCTCCGTACGGACTTGGGGTGGTACTCAGCCACGTTGATAGCGAAGGCCGGGAGGTACCGGTAGCCTATGGCTCTCGAACTATGACAGCTGCCGAAAGGAACTACGCACAGACAGACCGGGAAGCTCTGGCGATAGGTTTTGGAATACGAAAGTTCCACAAGTTCATCTACGGTCGGCATTTTCGGATCGTGACCGATCACAAACCTCTCCTGGGACTCTTGCATCACGCAAAACCGATGCCTCAAGTGCTGTCGCCGAGGATGTTGCGATGGTCGTTAATGTTGTCGGCTTACGACTACGAGCTGGAGTACAGGCCTGCTCATCAGCTCAGGAACGCGGATGCACTGAGTCGACTGCCTCTAACTGTGGAAGACAGCTCAACTGACGAGAAACTTTTTGAAGTCCGGATGCTGGAGACTGCGCCGGAGATTCCGTGGGATGCCCAGAAGATTGCCCGATGCACCCGGAACGACCCAACCTTGTCCAGAGTTCGACATTGGACGGGGGTTGGATGGCCTCAAGGCAGGCTGCCGGACGAGTTCAAGCCATTTGTTCGACGGCAGCACGAGTTGTCGGAGTATCGGGGATGCCTGCTGTGGGGATGTAGAGTCATCATTCCAGAGCAAGCGAGAGACCAGGTTTTGGAGCTGCTGCATACCACGCATCCCGGGATCGTCCGCATGAAGGCGCTTGCCAGAAGCACAGTTTGGTGGCCGGGTATCGACCAAGATATTGAAAGGAAGGTCCGAACCTGCCTGCCCTGCCAGGAGACAAGGCCGCAACCTGCACGTGCAAGACTGCATCCGTGGGAATTTGCCAGAAACCCATGGTCCCGAATCCACATCGATTTTGCAGGACCCTTCCAAGGAAAGGTTTTTCTTCTGGTGGTGGATGCGCATTCGAAATGGCTGGAAGTCATCCAGATAGCATCCATGTCGTCAGCAGCAGTGTGTCAAAGGCTGCGAGTGCTGTTCGCAACACACGGTGTTCCCGACACTATAGTCTCGGACAATGGGACCGCGTTCGTCTCACAAGAATTTGAAGAATTTTTGCAGAGAAACCAGATCCGGCACGTTAAGGTGGCGCCATATCATCCATCGTCAAATGGCCAAGTGGAGCGCATGGTCCAAGAAACTAAACAAGTCCTCAGGCGCATGGAAGGAGGCGACATGGCCACCAAGTGGGCCCGATTTCTTTTGAGTCAGCATAATCTCCCGCACTCAACGACCGGAAAGAGTCCGGCGGAATTGTTGATGGGTCGGAGACTCCGTACTGCACTGGACCGGCTTCACCCAGACCTACAAGCAGAGATGGTGGACAAGCAAGAGGAACAAGCGCTGCGGGGAAGACAAGGTGTACGCGAATTCGAGCCGCGAGAACCAGTCTTCATCCGCAATTATTTAGCAGGCCCCAAGTGGCTACCCGGTATCATCACTGAGATCACCGGTCCGGTGTCTTACAAGGTTCGCACCATCGACGGTCGTTTCTGGAGGCGGCACGTGGACCAAATCCGGAGACAGGAGTGGAGCACATACCTGGACGAGGAGGAGCCTACGACAGAGCTGTCACCTCAGCAGCTCTCCTTACCAAGCGAGCCATCGCTTAGGAATGAATCGGTGGAAGAGTGCCCACCATCTACGAGTCAAGCGGACTTCCCTGAGGAGTCAACCCCAGTGGCAACACCTCCAGCTTCCCCACAACGTTCACCTGCTTCACCCCATGAACCGAGGCACCAAACAGTGTTGCCAACTTCAGCGCCTGCGCAAGAACAGTCAAATCGTCCCCAGCGACAACGGCGACGTCCCGACTACCTAAAGGACTATGTGACCTAGGGGGGAGGGATGTTGTGTGTTGGCAACCGAGGATATCCAGGGATACCGGTGAACTGGTGCACGCGCACATTCACGAGACGTTCGACTGCTCTGGCCCCAACCCGGTCGGTTGTGCCCGCTGTATGCTGTAATGTATATATTATGTAAAGATTAAATACACAACAGGAACGCGTGCCGAAAGGCCTGAAATCCTAGTCCCCTTCAAGGTACTCCACCTTGGATGACACACACTTGTTTGAAGCATTTTTGTTTGAAGCATTTTTTATCGAGTATACTCGATGAAATGTGCCAAATGAGACAGTGAAGGTGAATCATATATCCCAAGACAAAGAAATACTGAAATACACGGGCATGATCCCAGATATCTGTGTACGTTCGTCCTGTCCGGCCTCAGTCGTGGTGTTCAATGCTTCATACTTCACTGCACTTGAAAGCAAAAAAAAAACAAAAAACATGGGTATGACAGGCGTGGAAGTTCGGCGGAACCGAGGAGGCCATTTGTAACTGACCTGCACGCAGAGCTCACTGATCACACCTTTAAAGAGAGCACGCTCTTTACTGAACCGCACAATAAAAGGCGACAAGAATATCTCATCCGGGGAACATTCCAGTCAATTCACGCCTGTGCGTAGCTTACTGTGCTTTTCTAGAGATTTGGTTAAATTCCTTGAGCACGACGCCAGCTACCAGCTGTTTACTAGCAGTACATGGTAAAACCCGCGACGGAACCAAAACGGACAACCGCGATACTTTTTATTTGCCTCGGGTTTTAGTGGGTGCCTACCAAGGTTGCCTGTACTCTTTAACATGTTTGTTTTCTGCCAGTTTAGGCGAACCGAGCCACACGCCTGTTTCGACCGGTTCAAAATTGAATAAATGGTAACCGACGCACAAAGAAAACAAGTTTCAAGTACTTTTGAGATTTTTGAAGTGACTTTTACTATTGAACGACTGCATTCACTTGAATGTTCAATTCAAGAGTTTATAAAATGTGACTACCCCATGCTTGTCACTTGCCAACAGGGTGGTAACACTCAATGGCTCGAGCCCAGTGGGTAGTTAAGTAAGCCTGTGGGGTAGTTACAGCCGTCAAAACGCATGATGACTAGGGGGGGTGCTCACTTTTTCTTAGAGTGTACCAGCCGCCTCATCATTTTTCATTCGTGACATTTTTTGGTGGAGGTGCGGGGTAACGCAGCTCATGAAGCGTACCCCTCCGAGGTCTCGCAGTGCAAGCCCGATCACCCGCTCAAGAGGATCATCCGCAGACACCCGAGGAAGCCGCCGCACCCAAAACCTACTCCCGGAATCCGGAATTCTGTCACCCAGGACCAAGTAGCCAACGAGGCGGACGGTGGACAACCTGTCGTTGCAGACTCCGGCCGCCGCCGCCGTCGTATGCCTGCCCGTCGCACGCCGGACTCCGACGCCTTTCTACGGTGACGTCAACAAGGACATCGAGGATTAGCTGCAATACTATGAACGTGTAGCCCGCCACAACGGATGGACGACTGACCAGTGCCTCCACAACCTCTACTTCTCGCTTGAAGCCACTCCGAGGCACTGGTTTAAAAACCACGAAGCCTCCTTCAATATATGAGAGTCCTGCTCCACCGAATCGAAGTGGACATTCATCAATCGCCCCGGTCGACAGCGAGCGGAGGACGTTCTCTAAACAAGGGTGCAGGGTCCCAAAGAAAGTGTGACCAGCTTTGTTGGAGACGTCCGGCGCCTAAGTGTGCGATCCAATCCGGAGGGCGCCAAGGAGAAGAAACTTTGCGCCCTCATGCTTGGTGTGAAGGATGTAATTTTCGGAGGCCTCGTCTGCAGTGATGTGATTGGCGTAAGCCGTTTTGGAGCACCTTTTGGAGCAGCCAAAACGGTGTTTTGGAGCAGGAAAAGTGGCCTTTGGAGCAAGCAAAAGAGTGTATTGGAGCAGCAGAAGTGGCTTTGGGAGCGTCCAAAACAGTGCTTCGGAGCAGCAAAAGAGGCTTTTAAAGCAGATATTCTTAGGAAAATAAACATATTCGTTTTAGGTGCTGGACGAACGAAGGGCACTTCGGTCGCCGCAATAAACAAGTTACGGTCAAGTTAGACCACCTGGGAGTCTCTCAACATGTAACTGAAATGCCAAAGGCATAACACATTTTGCCATGCTTCATTTAAATTCTACATGTATATGTACCGTTATAGGTAAATAAGAACCAAACTGCACTTAATAAAATTTATTTGAAAATAACCAGCTTACTATATAGTAAATATCACAGCATTAAGTTGACTACCGTAGTTATATATAATATAATAAATGGAAGCAGTCTCCGACTGATGAAACACGTAACTATACTGCAGTACAAGACAAAGGTGCATCCAGACTAGCGGGTGCTTTTCTTTTTGCTTTTCGAAAATTTCTGCAAGGCTGCTTCAAGCCTCGCTTTGGCTTCGGCTAGTAATGAATGTCCACTTTCAATGTCTCCAAAGAGACATTGAGACATCCCACAAGTGTACAGTGCTGTGGGCGTTGCCGAGCAACTCCGAAAAACCGCTTGCCACCGTTTTACTGGTTCCCGACGTGCCAGATTTTCGTCAAAAGTAAGCAAACGTAAAACAATGGGTTGCAATCTTCCCGGCTGGTGCCTCTGTCGTGCAGTCATGTTTAGGGTGCCTACATGTCTGTTTGCCTCAGGGTGAAGACATCCATTGTTGCCCTGAATGTGCCAGCGCGTGACGCTCTCGCGCACTCGGTGCGTGACTTGGGCAGTAAAATGGCGTCTATGCATTAGCCAAAGCTACGCGCTTGAGCTAAGTGACACCAGATTGCGCGCGCTTCAAATGCATAAAAAAACGGTAGGGCTGTAAAATGGCTGAGATGTCACCACTCAAGCAAAAGCGCGCGTGTGTATGAAGGCACTCTAGTCATGTTCGCATGCACATGAGGGCAACTTCGGCAGGCATGCAATTGCACGTGCTTCGTCGCGGGAGTGGAGATGGCTGTTCGATCGAAACAGACACCATGCCACTCTGCTCCGTCGCCAACTGGTTCCCAAAATTGTATGAAAGGTGTAATTGTCCAGCATACCACAAAAAACAGTCCAGCGGCACGTGCTTGCCAGGCCGGCAGGCGAGGTACAAGCTAAACACACAGAAAAATAAGAACCTGAGCGCATTGATTCAAGACATCGCGAGCCAGAGTCAAAAAGTACTTGGAGCAGTCTGTGCAACGACTGAAGCGTCCACACATGCCCGCGTGTATCGTTGATTTTTTTTCCTTCTTTTTTATTGAAAAGACGCGAGACGAGACACATGAGACACGACGAGAGCGTGAAACGAGAGACGGCGGGAAAAACTATGCAAGACCGGATGGACGATTGATACAGGGTACTTTTTGTCGGGCTGCCGCTTGCGCCACCTAGCTCACGCATGCTCAATTACGGTACTCAGTTTAGTTTCGATTTGAAACACAAACAAAATCGGTCTTTTGGCGCAGGCTTGGAGCAGATTACCCATATTTTGGCAAAATGTAGCATGATGTAGCAGGGTTTGCCTCTTGGCGCAGTTTGGCGCAATTGGCGCAGCAATCACATCACTGCGTCTGCAATCCCCAGACAAGCGTCGACGGCTTTGTGACTAAATTCATAAACATAGAGCGCGCACTGTCGGTCCGAGTAAGCCATTACTACCGATACGGTTGCGTGCCTGCTCCTTCAACAGTCGCCTCTTCCCGGCTGGACCTGAACACCGGCGGTGTCAACGGCCTTCGAAAGATCGTCCTGGGCATCGTCAAATGCTACCCGCTGCTGATCGCTTGTCCTCTTTCCCCCTCCCCGAAGTCGTCCAGGAGGAAGTTTACCGAGACTTACAGCCTGAGGCTCCTGCTACCGTATCCGCCCCGGAGGAGTCAGCTGTAAGTTACGCCGCAATAGTCCCACGAACACCACCAGCCCTCGTCCATACATTCCGATCCCCCGACATGAACCTCCCTGGCCGCAGTATCCCCGACGCCAGAAAGATCGGGTGCACGTCCGCCAAGCACAAGCTACGTCAAGAAAGACCGACCAATGGCAAACGACAGACCGACGCCCCTGTGATGTATCTGCTTATGCTATAGCAGATGGCGGGACATGTTGGGAAGCGCGCGGTCCCCGCGTGCTGAGAGCGCGCGGTTTGAAAGAGCACGGGTCTCGGTCAGTCGGGAGCCATGATTAAAAACGAACGAGTCGAGCGACTAACGGCTGCAGCTGGGTCTTACTCGCGATACATCACACTTTTGGCGACGAGGTCGGTGAACGGACACCACAAGGGCGAGTGAACGATGGCTACCCAGGGCAAGCTGGAAGAATTTGATGGAACAGCGTGGCCGTCTTGGGCAGAGCGACTTGGATTCTACTGCGAAGCAAACGGAGTGCTGGAGCCTACAAAGAAGAGGGCTTTACTGCTGACCCTTTGCGGAGCAAAAACCTACGAAGTGGTACAAGCGCTCGTGGCACCAAAGACTCCTGGTGAGGTCAGTTTCGACGAGCTCATGGCGACATTGAAGAAACACTACGACCCGCGGCCGTCGGAGCTTTTCAGCAGGACGAGATTTCAGCGAAGAGACCAGCAGGTGGGCGAGTCGATATCGAGCTATGTCGCAGCTTTAAAGAAGCTTTTGCCGACTGCAATTTCGGAGTTCTGACGGCAACCCCAGCGGCGGTCACAGCTAGCACCAGCAACGCAGGTTCCGCAGGCGAAGCACAATCTCCTGCTCGACAGCCACAGCTG